TCGCACCATTAACAAGTCCATCATCCACATTTATGTTTCTTGTAAGCATCACCCTAGCATTCACAGAAATGAGCAGGGAAGAAGATAAGCCATCTGTTCTTGTCCTAATGAAAGGTTTGTAACGTGAAGTGAGCTTACCTGTCGTTCTATCTTTTTGATAATCTTCAGCATTTACTTCATTTAAATCTCCACACTTTTCTTTCAAAATCTTAAGGTTATGTTCATTTGCTTCTTTGTTTGTGGGATATACAAGCAGAACATCCTCTGGCCCATCTTTTATACATTCTGAAGGCATCACTTTAGCCTTTTCTGACAGTGGTTCATCTATTGTCCGAATTGATGTAATGAATTCAAAATTTAAGCAAAGTTTGCATCTTCACATTGTCTCATTATTTCATCCAACTCTATCAATTTGAAAAAGTCTAACCAATAGTGTACTGGATATTCTTCATTTTCATTATACAACCTCTCTGCTTTTCGTTGTTTCACAGGAGGAAGTTGGTAGAAATCTCCAACTGCTAAGATAGATACACCACCAAATGGTTTTTTGCACTTCTTAATTTGAACGAGACGCTCATGAATGTAATACAAAAGCCTCTTGTGAAACATAGATATTTCATCAATAATCAAGATCTGCAAGTTTTCTAACTTAGATCTTACTGCACTTAAGTTTTGCTCATTCAGAGGTTCATATGGAATGCGTAGAGCTATTGGCAAAGAAAAAATATGGTGAAGTGTTTTGCCCCGTTTATTAAATGCAGCTGTGCCAGTAAAAGATGTGAAAGAACAGATACATCATTTGGATATGAAAGTAATTTTTCAAAAAGATGAGAAGCTTCATAATGTATAACCTTGATCAAATGGCTTTTTCCTGTTCCTGCACCCCCTGTCACGAAGATATGCAATGGTTCCGTATTCTCTCCAGTAACTTTCTTCAAACACCAGTCACGAACTATGTAAAAAAAAAAACTCCTTTTGTTTTTCATTTAAACTTCTCAATAAAGGAAGCATTTCTTGCCTTGAATTACAATTCTCTGTGATGTGATATAACAAGTCTGAAGAACTGTTTTCAATTTCATGAATAATTTCTGGTTTTTTATCTTCTAATTTCTCAGTTGCCTTTTTTGCATCTAAACACTCCTTTCTGTTCATTTCTGTTTCTGGACCAAGTTTTGCCCAAGCATCCTCAGGTTCGCCATAATGTTCAAAAACCTCTTGAGCATTATCAGTAGCATCTTCATTTCTTGAGAATTTGCACTTATTATCTTCCATCAAAGTTTTTACTGGTTGTAAATGAATCTCAGATTTCAGCCTCACAAATCCAGTTTCAAAAAATGTCTGGTAAAGTTCAAATCCAGGTGGTTTCAATTGATCTTTTGTGACATATGAAAGAAAAAGCTGCAATATTGATTGATAATACTTTTCTGGTGTATTTTCTGGATTGAATCTAGGATATCTAATAACAGCTGGTTTTCCTCTTGTTCTTTTCTGTATCTACCCTTTTTCATTCTTAAACTCATAAACACTTCCATTTTCCCCTTTAAGAATCTGAGATTTAGCAAGCACTCTGTATGAGGAACAAAATTCTGCCAGACACATTTCATCAAGAGGATGTAGGTCAGGACGATTTTCATACCTTTCTACAATATTTGTCATCCATATGTCATCATCACCTTCCAAGTAATCATCATTGCATTCTCTTCTCTCTTTTTTGCATTTCGGCAAGAGGTTTACTTAAACGAGTGGGGTTTTCACCAACAGGAACAAAAATCACTTTTCTTGAACTCTCATTCATTCTCAGATTACAGACTCTGTAAACTGCTTCTTGGGCACTGACCTCCCTCTGATAAAGATATGCAGATCCTATTGTTCTCATTGTTTGACGGGCAATTAAGTTACCTTCCATTGCTTCTACTTGCGTTTGCTTTAATAGCATTCCCATTTCTCTCTCTGACTTCGATATATATGATATAATGTACACGATGCAGCTAAAGGGGTCTAGAACATATTGTATGTCCATGTTTGCATCCCAACATCTGAGAAGGCATGGATTGTACTGATTTATCCACATTTCATTAGGATTTCGTCTTAATACAGTACTTGTTTTTGACGACAACACCTTGTGTGCTATCTCATATACATCTTGTGTAAGGTGGATGCTGCTGAATATTTCTTCAGTTGTCTTGAGTGCATTCACATCATCCAATTCTTCATTCAAAACACTCAACAAAATATCCCTTGCCTGAGATTTGTTCAATACTCCTTTATCATCATCAGAAATGTCAACATCCTCCTCACATTGCTTTGTTATAAAGGTTTTCTCTGATGGTGGTCTTGAAAAATTGAATCTGCACTCTGTTCCTTTTTTTCTGCATGATTTTGAGTGACTCTTGCTATGTTGTTGTACAGCTAAAACAATTTGTCTAAGTTCTGGGTTGTCATTATCAGCAGGCAAAGCACATGTGACGTACCTATCAATAAAATCACACACCGTCTCATCGCTATCCATGTTGAATTTTCAACCTAGTACAAGCAATGCATATGTGGAGAACCTCTTTGCTGAAATTCAACTCTTATAAAATAATCAATGACTTTTCCTATTGGGTTTGATGGTGACAATATTACATCTCTCTGGAAAATATGGCATCTATTTTCAAACATTCTGGCTACGGTTGCAGGATTTTTTCTTAAAATTTCACTCTTTTCTGCCCAGTCTAAATTCGAAGGGTCTGTTGCATCATTTTCGTGATGTAATATTGATCCCACAATCTCATTCCACCTAAATTCAGCTGCAGAAAAAGAGCAGAACCATGTAGGAATACCAAGTTGTCGAAGCATAGCAAATAAGTCTTTCTGTGTTGCTGACTATGCAGGTGTTCCTCGAATTGGCTGCATAAACCTTAGTGCATCATTGTTCTTGAGCAGATTAGAGAGTTCTTCTGGGTCTTGCAACATATCTGATGTTACAGATTTTCCACCATCAAGTTTTGATACAGACTTGCGGATTGAAATTTGAGTTTTCTCAATCACTTGGTTTAATTCAGACAGGTACTGTGAGAAGAAGATGTATTTTGTGTCTTTTGCAAATCTATTATCAGTGTTCATAAGTCTGTTGTTAAAATATCTGGCAAGGGTTATCTTCTCATCTCAATTTTCATTCCATTCATTCCAAGAAAAATTTCCACTGGGAAATAAATGTGGAAATGTCTTCGCTTCATTCCCTTCTTCTTGCAACATACGCACAGGATTTTGTCCTTCTCCAGGAGCTTTGTTGTAAACATCATGAAAGTAATGGTCAAGAACTTCTTGTGCAATATCCACAGGTTGTAAACATGCGTCTGAAACCACCTCTTCATTTTCTGTTGTCTGTTCCGAGGTTAATGTCTTCTCTTCACATTCATTAGAATCATTCATAATTAAATCACCTTCCTCACAGTTTTGTTACCATGTAGAATTGATCACAACGTCTCGATACCATCTGTTGTTCTTCTTTAAGTAGTCCAGGGCTGTATCTATATGTGCTGGATTCACAACCTGATATTCAAAGTAGCCCTTATACTTCGAGAACTGAATTTATTATTAATCTCTTCACAATTTTACAATTGTATACAGAGATATAAATGTAAACAATGATGACAAATAAAAACAAATTTTAGCATGCGTGAGTATGAGGATAGACAAATAGTACAATTATAGATCTTTACTAATTCGGGGAGCACGTTTAAGTAATTTTTCTAATAAATGTAGACAGTTTTCTTAAAAAGGATTGTTTTTCTGAATTCATTATAAGATAACTTACGTTTCAGCTTGATGCGTAGCAACATATTTTCACTTTCATTTCATGGTAAGCTTGTTGCCTTTCTCATGTTTGATGGTACACATACAACAGGCCCATGTACATTTCTTTGACCATCTTGTGGGAGAGACATCACTTTCATAAAGGGAATATGTAAAGGAATGAGATGTTGCTCTAAACTGTTTGTATTACTTAGTTGATGTGGGATTTCTTCAAGTGTCATTTTATTTACAGCAGCTTCTCCAGGAATTTTACCACTCAGTCTTTTTCTTATGGCATGTAAAACAGATCCATAATGATGATTTTTTGCAGTTCATTGAACAAGACATTGTGCACTCATGAACATATCTGTTATTTATGCATATCTTTGCTATTTCCATTGCTTTCTGTCTTTTCTTATACATTTCAAATGCACATCCTTGAACTTGATTTTCGAACAATAAATGATGACAACAGCAACAAGTGTATTCTGGCCCATTCCTTACACTTTCCTTAAATATTTTGACAGCTTCATCTTCGTCTTCTAGTTTCAATTTCGTTGGTTGTCTCTGTTTTAGCACATTTTCCTTCTTGCATTTCTTTGCATCAGCACTAAAGTGGTATTTTACCTCATTAGCTGCCTTCAGCATATTCCTATGTTCTTCATCTTTCTTGTACTTTTCTGAACTTCTTTTTTTAACATCTGCTCTATGTTTTTCATCTTTCTTGTACTTTTCTGTACTTCTTTTTTTAACATCTGCTCTATGTTTTTCATCTTTCTTGTACTTTTCTGTACTTCTTTTAATATCTACTCTATGTTCTTTATCTTTCTTGTACTTTTCTGAACTTCTTTTTATAACATCTGCTCTATGTTCTTCATCTTTCTTGTACTTTTCTGTTCTGCATGTGCTATAATTTGGGAAGCACATACTTGGAACAAAGATTGCTTATGATCCACCAGTTTGAGATAACATTGTACTAAACTGGCAGAAGTTGCAAAATTCGTGCCTGGGTTATAAATTTATAAGGGGTGAGAGGAACACAGGAAACTTTTTCATAAAACAAATTGCTTGAGATGGGCTTGTCCTGACCTTGAACAAAGGTTTTTTCCGGCGACTTCAAGGCCAATGGCAGATAAATATTAATTTTTTTCCCATGCAATAACTTTGTAATATAAAATCACTGAAAGCTTTTACTTAATACAGAGATTACTTATTACTTCAAGCCTATCAACTTGTCCACTGGAAATCCTTCTCTTGTGATGTTTGATTTAGAGACCACAGATCTGAGTAAGATTATTACAAGAAAATGTTACACATAGCTTCAATTTCCAAAGTGTGAGCAGTTGTAGCTAAACCCCCTCCCCCCATTCCTGAATTTGAAAAAAAAAAACAGAAATTAAACAAAATAAAAAAAAGCTTTCTTACTGAAAGTTGGACACCGGCCACAATGAGAATTGACAAGGAACAAAACTATCAGTATATTTCTTTGAAGGGGATCGGGGCAAGTTGAACATAATAAATATTGATAAGCAAACGTATTTTTAACTTTATTACACAAAAATATATAAAACAATTGAAATGTATTTTTTTTTTTGCATTTCTTTATTCAATTCAGTTCGAGAAAGACAGATGCCGCATATCACACAGCTTGCTGCAGTTGAATTGGAAACTGGATCTGTTTATAATACCTACATTCTTCCGAAGGTGCCCATTACAGAGGAGGCAATGAATACGACTGGTATTGTTGTAAATTCAGATTTAGAGAAAATGACTGCCCACGGAGAAGTTGATGCTGTGAACATTACATCTGCACTGACAGATTTTTTGACATGGTTGAAGAATTTTTCGAATGTTATTTTGGTAGCACGCAATGGAAGGAAATTTGATTTTCCTGTTCTGATGAGTACATTACATTGTCTGAAAATGACAAACATGCTACTTTCCACAGTTTCTGGTTTTGTCGACTCACTTGGTGTTTTTAAGAAAGCCTTTACTGGTCAGCCAAACTACAAACAGGAGACCTTGGTAAAGACAGTGTTAAACACCACATACACTGCTCATGATGCCACTGAAGATGTTAAAACATTAGGAATGTTGATAAAGCAGACCAAGTTATCAGGTCCAAAAGTTTTACATTTCAGTTTTCCACCAATTGCTGTACATCAAAGCCTTTTTTCAGCAACGAGAAATCAAAAAAATATAACTTCATTGCATGTTCTAATTGCGAAAGGTATTGTGAAACATAACACGGCAGAAAACATTGCAGGTTCTGTATTAAACTTGTCATACCTTCACAGAATATTTCAGAGAGATGGTGAGGATGGACTAAGAGCTACATTTTCACAGAAAACCTCTGATGGCCAGCCGCTAGTTTCCTCTGCAAAACGCGTTCTAGACTCTGTAATTCCAAAACTTGTGGAATATTTTGAGAAACAAGATGAAAAATGACTGGTGTGAAATTGCAGAAAGTATTTTGTAAATATTTTACAAACAGATTAGGATGTTCTATTAGCTATCAGAATGAATTGAATATATTACATGTAGCTGTCGAAACGAATTGAATATGTACATTACTCTTTGTTGTCTATAGTAATTTTGATTTCAAAATGTTAAAAAAAGTATAAGGTCAAGGTCAAATACAAATATGAAAAACAATATGAAGTTGATAGTTATGATTGTATTAAAGTGTTACAGTGCTTTTGACTTTGCCATATGTCATGATAGTATATGTTCAAAGACCAAAATTGTTCAAAACGAAGGTTGGTTACAAAGTCCTTACTTATTTAAAGGTCATTGTCAAGGTCGACGTCAAAGTCATAGTAAAACACTTTATACTGTCACTTATTACATTGCCTCTACATTGAAGTTGTGATGCTATATTTCTTTTGTTATGATATACGTGTTTGTATATTTGTTAACCAAAATGTGATTTTGAAAATTTGGGGGAGGGGGGGGGGGTAGGGTTAGAAAATTGTTTAAAAAAAATTATAATCCGTGGTAAAAGTTTTCAAACTTGCTTTTATTTTTATTATCATATAGTATAGAATGTATTTATAGCAAAATTTCCTATGTCAATTTTTTTTATTTTCCTTATAGGAGTGTTTACATGATCATATTTTTTTTTTCGTCAAAAAAAAAAAATGAAGTTGATATGAAACATTCTTGATTTTTCAAACTTATTTTACTGAAAGAACTATAAAACTTATTTTAACTAATAAAAGCATTTAAATGGTTTCTAAAAACATGTGTTTTCACTTGCAGAACACTATATTTGATATCAATATGCTAGTAAATGCGACTTTGTATCTAATTTTACTAGTATGCATTATGGCATCATCATATTTCTGAATATTTTGATCAGATTTAAAAAATGTCTGGATAAATTTGTTCATTTATGAAGTATATAATGTGTTTTAATTGTTTTGAGAGAAAATTATCACTTTTGAAAATGTCCGTATTAAAATGCATTACGGGCTGAATATCTTAAGAAAAAAAGTTCGGCATTTTTCAACCTCGTTCGGTATAATATAATTTACTGATAATTTTTTTCCGTTACGGGGGAACACATGGACGAAGGATAAAAAAGCGTATTCTGCATGTACATGTACATCATTGCTATTGTCTACTCGGATTAAACCCAAAACCCTTCGTTACATTGTATTTGGGTATAATTTTCACATGTTCTCAGGCGGAAGTTCATTTATTTTTATCTGTCTAAAGATAATAATTTCAGTTAATAGAGAAATGTTTTTATTTCATCTTTTTTTTTCATCCTTTTGATTTACACGTTTGCTTTGTACACAAAAGCGTGTGCTCATGTACCGCTGTTTATACGCGCTATCGATGTGATCAGGGAGAACATGATATCCTCCAGCAATTTACTTCTTATGAAAACACTCAATGAAAACATATTAGGTGAAAATATATATACCCGTTAGTATCTTAATACCTTAGTATCTACCTGTTTCATTGCAATGTCACCAACCGTAACGATCGCTGGCCAGGACTTGAATATAATTTATTACCGTTATTAAAACAACTCGTCAGCTGAGCGGACCTATGATTTAAACAGTAAAATAGGGAAATTCCAGAGTTCGAAGTGTCTTTATTTTTGGCACTCTTCCACAAAAACAAATAAAACCGCATTTACTCGTACTTCATGCATGTACCTGTAATTCGTATCATGGGTATATTCAGTTTATTAGATGAAATAAAACAAATGCATATATAAGATTAATCTTCCTAAACAACACGTTTTTAAAACAATCTATCTAATATAACTGACGGTATAAAATAACAAAGAAAATAACGGGTTTGTGTTTGTATTTAATATGGAATGAGAACAAATCTTAACCTGTCAAATCATTTGTAAACCATACTTCGTTTTCCAGACACTAATGGCCACTTGCATACCTGTAGCTCAGGTAACCTTGATTTAATAGGTGATCTGGGGATCAGATAACCCCGTCTTAAACCTGACTTAAGCTGTACTCAGGTGAGAAGTAGTTGGGTTGCAAACCTGTGACTCAACTCTTTCTTACCTGAATACGGCTTAAGATTATCTCATTCCTTGAAAATAATGGCAACAAGACAGAAGTCAGCAGTTTTTTCTGAATTAGAGAAAGAAAATTTTGTAAGAGATTATCCATGCTAGGAAGGACATCATAGAAAATAAGCAGAATGATGGCAGAATGGTTAGTAAAAAGAACACAGAATGGATAAATATTGAGAAAGAATTAAATTCTAGACACGGTGTAAACAAGAGAACCATAATACAGTTGAAATCATTATGGAAAAATCTAAAAGCCATAAAGAAGTCTGCTGTTGCTAAGGAGAGGAGAGACAAGAAAAAGACAGGTGGAGGACCATCTGGGAAAAGCTTGGATAAAATTTCCTGCACCATATCCGAAATGCTTCCACAGCAAATTTTTAGTTTGCAAAGTCCATATGACGATGATGCAAGTCTCCATGGGGATGAACCAGAAGATGACAATGAGGATTCAGATGATAATGACGAGGTATATTTTGTCAACATTATTGCATTAAAACAATTTTAATTAAAATTTATTTGCATACATGTATGCGCTGTAGATTTCTTATTTTTCAACCTGTACATATAATTCCGCGATCCCACCATTTTTGTCAAATTACGAGAACATGAAAAAATCGGGCGCAACCAACATTTATAATAATTCTATATCAAATAATAAAAATCAGCTATTAAAAATAACTGTGATTTTAAAAACGTGAAAACAAAATCTCACGATTTTACAGTGTTATTAATTCTTCGCGTTTCATGAGGAATTTACTGTATGCATGCTTTATTTTTTTTTTCTTTTTGTTTGTTTGTTTTTGACAAAAACCATTCTATCAATAATATATTTTATTTACTCATAATAAGTACAATCAATGCTTCACTGTTCACAGATATTGACAACCAACACAATTCAGGAGGATGCGCCGATAATGTCGGAAGAATCCGCTAAACCGCTACAACCAGCGTCCAGAGTTCCTGGTACTAAACAAAAAGCTGCTTGTCCAGGACATCAAGACCAAGTCAAGAATAGGCTCCTGGAAATGGCAGAAATAGAACATAATGAAAAAAAGATGACAATCCTCCAGTTGAAAGAGGACATACTAAAGTTAAAGAAACAGAAACTAGAGAACGAAATATAGAAATAAAATTAAGTGAACCTAATTTGCCAGTACCTTCAACCACTACATGTGGGGGTACAGATTCTAACAACAACAGTGGCTATTTCTGGCAGCCATATGCACAATGGATAGTATTTTGCATAGTAGCAAATATAAAGCTTACATTAAACATTTGAGAATTGAAAAATTAAATTTATAATCAATTTATCTTACTTGTTCGGGTTTTTACTGAAAATGTCGTATCAAAACTGCTCTTAAAGCCTGCCCCCCTTGGTTGCATTTGGTGGCATCGGAACCGGAACAGCTGTATCTCCTTCATCGTCATCATCTGGTACCGGGATGGCAGCTTTCCTTGCAATATTGTACACTTCTGCGCAAGCAATAATAATGTGCAAGGTTGTAGAAATCTTAAATCTCAACTGGTTTCGAAGGCAAGGAAAGCGTCTTTTCCAAATGACAAATACATTTCAATTTTAACTCGACTGTTTCTCAAAGCAAAATTAAAGCGTCTCTCCTGTGGTGTCCGGCAAGTAAAAAGGGGTGTTATTAAATAAGGTTTGAGAGGGTATCCATTATCTGCAATCAAAATCCCAGGAATATTTCTTCTTTCAAAACTCGCACAGACACTACTGTTCTCAAAAATCCTACTGTCATGGGTACTTCCCGGCCATCTTGCAACCACGTTTGTAAGCATTAGATCATTGTCACAAATTGCTTGCACATTGATGGAGAAAAACCCTTTCCTGTTACGAAAAATTTCTGCCGTGTCACCTCCAGGTGATTGTATTGGGATATGGGTACAGTCTATTGCACCCACTATTCCCGGAATACCACTATGGTTCATAAAACCTCTTTGGATTTCAGTTAGTTAATTTCCTGATGGAAATACTACATAATTCTTGTAAAGCGATGCTAATGCAGACGATACTCTCTTCACAATGCGAGAAGCTGAACTTTCGTGAACTCCAAAAAGATCTCCAGAAACTCTGAGGAAACACCCAGTTCCGTAAAACCGTAAAGCTATTAGTAGTTGATCAAGAGGTGATATTGATGAAACCTTCTTTTGTTTTGGCTCCAGGTGTTCCCCAATTTCATTGAATAATTCAATTACACATTCCTTTCTTAAACGAAATCTGTCAATAAATTCCTCTTCGGAATAATTCAAAAAAGGGTTTGTCCTGTCTCTTACCATTCTTTCTCGCCTGATAAGTCTTTCCGCTAAAATTAATTTGGTCTATCTCATCAAAATAATACTCCATCGCTAATAAACCTTCCTTTAAACCTGCCCATTACCTGGTTTACAGTAAACCACAATTCTGTGCTCTACTCAGATAAATCAGAGAGGTCTGTAAGTGATTTGATAATTTTGAACCTGACTTAAGCCAAGATTACCTTGATCCAGGCTTAAGCCAAACATGTGCAAGTGGCCATAATTGTCATGCGTAATCTTCACATATACTGACCAAGAGGTCACAAGTTTGAAATGTATGGCTTCTCATTGCGCGAGTTTTGTCAACGCATGTCGGAGTAGACTATCTAAGCAATTGATTCCCAAAGAAACTGCATAGGAATTTTTTTGTACACTTTTTAATGGGTAAAATTCATTCGACGCTCGATAGAATTTTCAAATACAAGTGAAATAGTTAGGTTACTTGCGTCCGACCTAGTAATTTTGTATGCAATAATATTGCAAGTTAGGTAGAAAATAATACAAACTCAAAAGTACTTAATTTTATTTTCGATTTTCCTGACAATTAAAAATGTGACCTCCACGTACAACTATCGTGATAATTCTATACATGCTGTTAATGTTCATGAAAGAAATAGCAACTCGTTAAATAATAACATTAGAGAGATAAATAAACCGTTCTTTAATATGCAAACAAAGTGGTCTTTACGGTATTCAAAATGCATTGAATTTGAAGTAAATAAGTGAAAGGCAGTTAATGTAATTCAGCGAATAAAATATTCAAAGGTATTATGAAATAATCTGAAAGATTCAACATAATTATCCACTCATCACTTAGTTTACAAAATGTATTTGGAATGGCCATTCTATAGTTTGTTTTGTGTATTCATTCATTTATTCTCTCATATGAATGGTACAAGAGGTACGTATATACATATTTACAATAATTATGGACGAGCAGAGATTACAGGAGGACAGACAGCGTCAAAAATTTTGATGATAAATATACACAATTTTCTTAAGAATGCTGGGTCAGTATTTGTCATTAAATTCAGAATTTTATAATATTTGGATGTACATAGTATTTCTTTAACAGAAGATCTTTTCGAATATTACAAAATACATTACATTCCAGTAAGAAATGAAATTCGTCTCCAATTTTATTATTATTACATAAATAGCACACTCTTTCATTTCTTTCAACATTATTTCATCTCATCTACCCACCTCTATGGGAAGACGATGGTTACTTCTTCTGAATTTTGAAAAGATATTTCTAAATTTTCTTGGTAAAATAGTTAAGTATTTTTCACATTCAAACTTTGTTTTAAAAATTCTATATGTAATACCTTTACTGGAATTATTCATATCACTATACCACTTTGGTCTTTAAGCTTTTGGTTTATTGCAGTCGTAATCCATTTAACACTATGAAAATTTTGATCATTCCAAACATTACATAGTCCTGCAGTGTTAAGTATATTCTGTATGCAAGATATCCATGGATTATTGATTCCATTTTTGGTATATTTATTATAAAGATGTAAATAAATAATTCTACAAATCTTATTCTCATTTCCATGTAACAGTTTTCCCCCAAAAGATATCATTCTTGTATAAATGCGTCGTCTCCCCGTATACCATAAAACTTGGCGTACTAGATTTTAGGTTTAAAATATATTTCAAAAATCTTAAATGTAGACGTTCAATAATATCAATATTTTCAAATCCCCATATTTCGCACCCATATAACAAAACAGGGACAACAACTTTATCAAACAGATCTAGCTGACAATCAAAAGGTAGATTATATAAACGAATTTTTCTTATAATGCCGTACATTGCCTTTTGTGCTTGATTACATAAGTGTTTCTTAGCCTTTGAAAATGACCCTGATCTTGAGAATAAAATACCTAAGTAATTGAAATCTTTTACAGTTTCTAAAACATCGTTGTTGTATTTAAATGTATGTTTGGGTGATGGTCCTTTTGAAAAAATGACAATTTTTGTTTTATTAACATTAACATGGAGTTTCCATGTTTTACAATATGCAGAAAATTCATTTAATGCATGTTGTAAATCATTTGCAGTTTCAGACAAAATAACAGTATCATCTGCATAAAATAATATAAACAGTTTGATAAAAACGGTAAGATCATCTTCAATCTCTTTAGACAAATTCTCTAAGCCATTAACATTCCTTTCTGTAAGATAATTTTTAAGTCATTGATATACAGAGAAAATAAAAAAGGTGATAGATTTTCACCTTGTCTGACTCCGACATTGCAGGTGAAATATTCAGAAGACACACCATCCACATTTATTCTTGATTTTATGCCTGCATAACATATTTCTAATGTAAGTAAAACACTTCCCACTAACACCATGTGTAAATAATTTATACCAAAGACCACCTCTCCAAACAGTATCAAAAGCCTGTCTAAAGTCGATGAACGCACAATATAACTTTTTTTTTGCTATTTATAAGTGCTTGTGACAGAAAATGCGAAATCAGTATATTATCTAATGTAGAGTACCCTTTTCTGAAACCTGTTTGACTTTCGTTAATCAAACTGACATTTTCTGCATATATTTCTAATCGTTTTTTTAAAATACTAGTGAAAAGTTTCCCAAGGCAGCTCAACAATGTGATCGGGCGATAGTTCTCGGGTTGTGTTGGGTCTCCTTTATTTTTGTAAATAGGTTTTACAATGCCTATAAGCCATTCTTCCGATACTATCCCAGAGTTAAAAATGAGATTAAACAATTTCTCGTATAGAGACAGAAACAGTGAAATAGTGGTACTAATATGTTTATTAAGAATATGGTCACTTCCGGGAGATTTGTTGTTTTTTAGGTCTTTTACGGCGGCCAGAATTTCATCTTGCGTAATTGGACAGTCAAGTATTTCATTATATCTACTTTGTTCAGTGATGTTGATTTCAGAATCAGTTTCCTCTAAATCGACTTCATTAATATTTTTGAAAAAAAGTATACAGATTATTTAAATCAGCTGTACATTTATTATTTTTATTTTGGCTATTTAATATTTTCCAGTATTCCTTTGTGTTGTTTGTTCGCAATTTTTTAATTTTCTGAGAGAGATCTTGTCTATAGTTATTTATTGATGAATCCATTACATTTTTATACTCTTTGCTAACTATTTTTAGATTTTCTCTAGAATCTTGCGTTTTAATTCTATTATGCATACGTTTAGCTAAGTGAAATTTTTTCCTCGCCGTTCTACAATAACGATTAAACCACGGTTTTTCGGGTTTTTTCTTTGTGCTTTTTATTTTATGTTCAATCCCAAATGATTCTTTGGCTGCGCTTAAAAACACATTGCAGATTTTTGACATTACACTGTTTAAATGCTCTTTTTCCAGCCCATTTTCTAAATTCATTAGACCCCCGATTTCTTCTTCAATTTTCGTAGTTGTATATTTATACCGGTCTATACTTGCACGAAAATCGTCTGCTTTGTTCGCACACCATAACTTCACACTTGATTGATCTTTACTTCCTACCTCTGTATAGTTACATGGGACATTGAGATACCGTTACACTGAATGACAGGGGACTGTGTGCGTCAGAATATAAGTTACAAAAATCTACAACATCAAATTTGCATAAAAAATGAAATAACTGTACACTAGATATCACATAATCAACAGTGCTTCTGTTCTTGCATGTAAGAGCACCTGTAGATTTATCACTTCCGTATCGACCGTTAAGAATAAAAAGATTGTTGTTGACACAAAAATCTACTAATTTGTAACCAAAATTATTGCTTGTTACATCTCTGACTGTTCTGACCAGTGGAATACCAAAA